TGATCTTACGTGACATAAAGAATAGATTTCTGCCAGGGAGGACGGTTCTCCACCATTATCGCAAACTTCTTCACGGGCTCCAGGAACATGCAGCAGAACGGGGCCTGGATCAGTTCATTGTTTTATAAGATTCAGGAGACAAGGGACAGGGGACAGTGGATAGGGGAGGGAGGACATGAGACAGGGAACAAGAGACAGTGGATAGGGGAGGATAAGAGACAAAAGACAAGGAACATGGAACAGGAGACAGAAGAATGGAGATAAGAAACGGAGATAAAAGACAGGGGACAATGGGGATGATAGAAGACAGAAGACAGGGCACATGGGACAGGAGACAGGAGACAGGGCACATGGGACAGAAGACAGAAGACAGGGCACATGAGACAGGAGACAGGGCACATGGGACAGAAGATAGGAGACAGGATACATGGGACAGGAGATAGGAGAAAGGGCACATGGGACAGGAGACAGGAGACAGGGCACATGGGACAGGAGATAGGAGACAGGAGATAGGGAACATGGGACAGGAGACAAGAGACAGGGCACAAGGGACAGGAGACAGGAGACAGGAGACAGGAGACAGGAGACAGGAGACAGGAGACAGGAGATAGGAGACAGGAGACAGGAGACAGGAGACAGGAGACAGGAGACAGGAGACAGGAGACAGGAGACAGGAGACAGGAGACAGGAGANTGATAGTGTAGATCTTTAATATTTCAACCTTTTTATTGATGATGTAATTGACTGTGTTATCTATAACCAGCGCCAAACAGTAACACCGTAATGGTTTAGACACTAAATGTAACATTTGCCCGTAGATGGGTAAACGTGAATATGTGGCGTATATCCCTCAAAATAACCATAACGATCCAGAAACGATCGTTTTAACATTTTAGTTTTTGGATCGTAAAGATTTGGCTTAGTGATAGAAAGAAAATGTTTAGGGTAAATAATTTTAAAACCATTTGATTATCTTACACTATGTCAAATTTCAACCGTGATAGAAAATATGGGCAAAGACCGACTCTAAAACGAACCCTGGATGCGCTGATTATTTCAGCTGATATTGCACTGACCTACTCCTCCAAGTAACCCTGCAGCTTTACTAGCATATTTCATCCACCAGGGGACACCATCATCATGTCCTGGTTCATTACTTCCAGGGAATATAAATCCCTTCACAGCATCCATCTTGCTCCTGGTCTTGATGTAGCTCAACCAGCTGATGTCCTAATGTTTATCTATGGCAGCTGCTCCTCTTGTATAACTGAGGTAGCTGCTCTGATGCTCAATTCTTCTTGAAGCTGTTTATCCCAAAAATGTTATATTTTTGATATTAATTTTTCTTAAATAATTTTGTACATTCGTTTCCAGAGTGATTAGAACAGTGTGATCTCTCCTCAGCTGACTTAGGTCAATACCATCCTCCGTTCTATATTCATACCAGCCTCCGTTCAAGAACACAACCAGTCTCCGTTCCAGAATAATACAGGCCTCCGTTCAAGAACGTAACTGTTATTCAATACAGAATAATTACTATTATCACTGTTCTTTTCACAATTACTCAAAATTTTGCACACAAATAAGTGTTCAAAGTTCTGAAATTTATTTAGTTTAGAGGTTCTGCAAACAGTTTAAATGCCTAAAAATAATATTCATAAACAAACAAGGATTTATCTTATACTATTATTTCTTTTTTTAGATTGCATATGTTACACTATCTTATCTAAATCATTATTAAGAAAACAAGAATAATATACAGTGATAACCAGAAAATTCTGGAATAGGAAGTCGACTTTTAAACTCATGTAATGTTTTTAAATAGTCTAATGAACATGAGGCACATCAATTATGTAGTAATAAGTGATTTAACAACTTACTAGTAAAGCTATTTGCTTTGCAACATAATATGCAATTCAGTTTTGCCTTACTGTCGTCTTCCTATTCTTGCAGTTTTCTGGTTATCCCTGTAGTGTATCATTTTTTAATTCTTTTAGGAGAATTTACTTTTTTTCAGGAATATATTGTTGAAAACAACCTTTTCCTTAGTTGCTTCACAAATGACTATATTTAAACTCCAGTAATTGTAATAGATTCATGCTATTACATATATATATAACCAGGCACAGCTGAATCTNAACCTTTTCCTTAGTTGCTTCACAAATTACTATATTTAAACTCCAGTAATTGTAATAGATTCATGCTATTACATATATATATAACCAGGCACAGCTGAATCTAAATTACTTGTATTTTAACCCAAATCTTTTACTTTCCACATCTAAACACAAACTAGAAAATCTGGCTTCAATTATACACAATATATTGCAGCTGAATATATTATAAATTAGGAATTAATTTAAAGATGTTGTTCTTTAAAATCTTAAATATGTTGTGTTGGGTTAAAAATAGTTTTTAAGTTTTTGTGCTCAAAAAGATATATTCCATTAAAAAGATTATCCAGTAAATAGAAGGCACTTGGAAATTAATATGTATAAGCAAAAACAAAAAATCAATCGTTTTTGACATTTTCGTCTTTAGCTCGTTTTTGTGATGTGATTAGCAGAATAAAATACAACAGTTAACTTGGACGAATAATCTATATCACATAAGTTTGTATGAATTATATTAATTTTTTTGAACTATAATTTACTAAGAATAGATTTATTATATTAAATAAATGGTTTTCATTAAGATAATTTAAAAATGTCATCTCTCTTACCAGCAACAAAGATAGAATGATTATCGATGAGACCTTTATTGTCAACACTCAACTTTAAAGGTTTAGTGTTAACCTGTAAATCTTGTTTTTAATAGTTGCTAATTTTGTTTTTGTGATTTGTTACGATTATGAACCATGAATTTAAGAACTCAATTGTTTGATAAGCTTTTAACTTTTTTTAATTTTCAAAGATTTTAACAAAGTACAATAAATACTGCGTCCTTCTTTTTGTCAAAGGGACTGTTCACGTAATTTAAAAAATTACAGAGTTCCATGCCAGATTCACAATACATGGTTAATTAAAACTACGTGAACAGTCCCTTTAAGTTTTAATTGATTTTTTCAAGTTCGTAACATCATAAACAAACTACAAGGTTTTAAGCAAAATCGGAGAAGGACGACTTTATTGTTTTATTTACGATTTATTACCTAATTTAATCATGTTTATCGATTTATATATATTTATATATTATTAATTACTTATTAAATTTATTACAATAAGATTGATACAACAGGTACAGCTCAGTAAATTTACTATTTTATAAAAACAATAATTTGTGTACATTCAAACAAAAAAACTAAACAAAAAACTACATCATACTGCATTGAAACTGTGCCATTTTTATTCCCTAGGAATAACCTGGCGAAGACATTTTTTGGTGTAAAATTAAAAGATTTTATACCAGATTAGGAAGAGTTAATGTTGGATTAAAAAAAAGCTATGGCAGATTGAGAAAATTAAAGTTACTGGCGGATTTAGAAGAGTAATTTCGGATATGGAAAAGTTAATGGCGGATTAAGAAGAGTAATTTCGGATATGGAAAAGTTAATGGCAGATTAAGAAGAGTTTATGGCGAATAGGAAGAGTTAATGGCGGATTAAGAAGAGTTTATGGCGAATAGGAAGAGTTAATGGCGGATTAAGAAGAGTTTATGGCGAATAGTAATAAGAGTTAACGGTGGTTTAAAGATGGTAAATGGCAAAAGGGAAGAGCTGATGGCGGACAAGGAAAAGATAATGGCGAAACAAGAAGAGTTAATGGCGGATTAAGAAGAGTGAATGGTGGATTAAGAAGAGTGAATGGTGGATTAGGAAGGTACAGGCGGATGTCCTGATTTCTTATGTTGATACATTTCATATTTAGTTTCAAAATTTACTCCGCAAGAACATCTGAAAAAAAACGAATTAAATTTTGTCAAACTACTAAAAATATGATAATTTTGAATTTAAAACTAAATCTAAATATTTGATTTAAACTTGTCAGGGTTTCAATAAATTTGCATATGAGCATAAAAATTCAAACGCTTACTTGAATGGCTCAGTACCCTGCAAGTGCATGATGGTTGTATGTGTACGTAATGTTGCCGCGTCTCTGTACATACGTTTACAGGTCGGACAGGGTCGGGGTTCATGGAAGGCTAGCTTTCTACTTCCGTCACTGTTCAGTTCATTTCCCGCATTTTCTATACAAAAATCTAGTTAAACTTTTTTATCATAAAAGAAATTCTATGTGTGAGATATTGTCACCAAAAATGGTTAATTTGGGATTTAATGATTTTAATGATTTTTTTTAAAAACTTACGCATTGCTTTGTTAGCTACTTGTTTAAGCTTTGCTGCAGCTGAGAGTAGGTTGGCTAGCTGATGATTCTGGTTTCCAAGTCCAGGAAGAACACCAGCTCTTTCACTAAACAGTCTCCAGATATCAGATTCAAGTTTACCCGCGTCCTCAGGTTCTGGTTGAAGTTGCGGAGCTGGAATCTGGGTCAGGATGGATTGGAGGAGAGGGACCGGAAGTTTCTTCTTTTTCGGCGGCGGTGAGGGTTCCACCGGCAAGCTCATGTCCATAGGGGATTCAAGATCGCTGGAGTAAGATCGTTTAACGGATGGAGATCGGTGAACTATTGAATTTGCTTCAAGTTCTTCAAGGGTTTCTTGAACAGCTGCAACAAGGCTAGTGATTCCTAAAGATTTGGCCAGATCTAACACAGAGGACAGTGTAGAGGCCTAGAACAAAATAGTTTTAATATTTTATAGATTTTAGAAAAGTTCAAAAAATTGTATTTTTAATTTTTCCTCGTAAACTATTTATGCTTTTTCACTTTACTGTATGCACAGCTGTTTTTTTTCTTTAATCAATCACAAGTGAACCAGGTCTAACACAAAGTGAGGCCTTCAAATACAATACTAAGTGAGGCCTTCAAATACAATACAAAGTGAGGCCTTCAAATACAATACAAAGTGAGGCCTTCAAATACAATACAAAGTGAGGCCTTCAAATACAATACAAAGTGAGACCTTCAAATACAATACAAAGTGAGGCCTTCAAATACAATACAAAGTGAGACCTTCAAATACAATACAAAGTGAGGCCTTCAAATACAATACAAAGTGAGACCTTCAAATACAATACAAAGTGNAAAGATACAAACAGACAAACAAACAGACAAACAGACAAGCCAAATTTATATATAGATATAGATAAAAGTTTTGACTTAAACTCTGATCTATTTACCTGAACACTTGTAACTCCTGTATAGAGAAAGTTGAGAATGATGAAAAGTTCCTCCCGCCCTGTTCCAGGCAGAACCAGATCAGATCCTCCAGTCTACAACATGTGCATACTCACTACATGTACATATGTACAGTTAGGTGCTGGGCATGCATTTATTAACCAGGGTTTGCGTACCGGACAGTGTACAAACCTTCACTTGTTCCGGTTACATCAAGAACTTAAAGGCCTTAAGGAATTGTTCAGGCCTATGTCTTTAGACAGAGGTAACTTTTTAAACTTTAACTTGTAAAGCTATAATTTTAACATATCTAAAGCTTTTCAAAGCTCTTTGGATATCTTGAAAGTCAAAACAAAACCCACAAATGTTGAAAATTCCTTATTATAATCTCCCTTGAAAGATTCCCAATGAAAACTAAGCATTATCTTTCATAGTTTTAAGTGACCCTATTTTATACTATATAACCCAAGAAATGTATAGACCAGGAACCGCCATATCTCATGCGTCAAATCTGTGTACTGCAGTGGGAAGAGATCAAAACAAAGAATTCAGGGGCAACGAATAATTTTTGAGGGAAAAGGGCCCAAGGGGTGGAATAAAAATTTATTGCTATTGTATTTTCCATATTGACCAGAAAGCCAAAAATCTTAAGTATTCGCTCTCACTTGATACATTAACTTGTTTTTTGTTGGACTGTAATATCACATCAGAGCTTTAGTCCTTTCTCTTCAACTTCTCTGGGGGCACTGGGTTTGTTTACATTCCTCCAACAGTGTACAGTACATAATTTGCACATATCTGAGTTGGGAGTTCCTGTACATAGTTCCTTGGTATAACCTTGTTATACCAACGTTGAGAATGTCCGATTCTAAACGGTACATCTTAAAAACTTAGTTTGATCAAGTAGGAATTGAATATCATTGTTTATAATTTTGTGAAAACTGATTATTTACAATTGTGGTTTCTCCACAAAAGTGATTTGCACATTTATACTTAAAGGGAGTGTTCGCGAAAAATGAAAGGGGGTATAGGCTTAATGCGATAATGCGCTTTTGATCTCTACTAATCTTAGTTATATCTGTTGCGTCAATAAGGAGAAACTTGTTGAAGACGTCTCATACCGAATAACTTAGCGCCCATAAAAATTGAGAAAATTGTAACATACGACTTAGACCGTAAATAATCAATTTAGTTTCAAACAGATCATTCAGATATTACAACCTATAGTCATCGATTATCTTTCGCCACTCCATATCTCATGCGTCAAATCTGTGTACTGCAGTGGGAAGAGATCAAAACAAAGAATTCAGGGGCAACGAATCATTTTTGAGGGAAAAGGGCCCAAGGGGTGGAATAAAAATTTATTGCTATTATATTTTCCATATTCACCAGAAAGCCAAAAATCATAAGTATTCGCTCTAACTTGATACATTAACTTGTTTTTTGTTGGACTGTAATATCACATCCGAGCTTTAGTCCTTTCTCTTCAACTTCTCTGGGGGCACTGGGTTTGTTTACATTCCTCCAACAGTGTACAGTACATAATTTGCGTATATCTTAGTTGGGAGTTCCTGTATATAGTTCCTTGGTATAACCTTGTTATACCAACGTTGAGAATGTCCGATTCTAAACGGTACATCTTAAAAACTTAGTCTGATCAAGTAGGAATTGAATATCATTGTTTATAATTTTGTGAAAACTGATTATTTACAATTGTGGTTTCTCCAAAAAAGTGATTTGCACATTTATACTTAAGGAAAACATATAGGATGTAATCAGAATTAAACACTTTTAAGCCCTGAAAAACAATAATATCTTCCACATTATTAATCAGATAAAGGTTTAAATCGGCATTGTCATCTTGACATGAAGGGTCACTTAAAATTACACTTACAGTCCCTTTAAACATTTATGTAGCCTTTGACATTTACATTCTGTGAGGAAGGCGATCATAAGCAACAAAATGTCCAAGATTTGTTGTTTGAAATAAAAATAAAATGTCCAAAATTTGTTGTTTGAAATATAAACAAAATGTCCAAGATTTGTTGTTTGAAATATAAACAAAATGTCCAAGATTTGTTGTTTGAAAAAAAATGTCCAAGATTTGTTAATGTCCAAGACTTGCTGTTTGAAATAAAACAAAATTTCCTAGATTTGTTGTTTGAAATAAAAATAAAATGTCCAAGATTTGTTGTTTGAAATATAAACAAAATGTCCAAGACTTCAAGACTTGTTGTTTGAAATAAAACACAATGTCCAAGATTTGTTGTTTGAAATAAAAACGACGAAAACAGTTTTTTCTTCATAAAAAAAGTTTGCTTGAGAATCAATAGTTGCACTCTTCCCTCTGAAAGCTTGTAAATGTAAATGTAAATAAACATGCAAAATTTTGGATTTAAGCAAACAAGCAATAAGCATCATGCACATAGGCGTATACAGAAGGGGGGGGGGACGGGTATACGGGCTTAATCCCCCTGGATTAGTGAAATCTATAAATTCTATGGGGCTTTTTAGGCCCCAATGGGTGATCAGCTGTCGTAAAATTGTTTTCTTTAGATCTGTTAAAATAGTAAATTTTTGCCATTTTTGTCTGCGTTAGAATGAAAGTTACAAGGGAAAAAAAACTTCCGAAAATTTCTATAAAACTGCACATAACGTGGATAAAATGCATTTGAAATATATAAATTAGTTGAGTCATTACAAAACGTAAGACCAGGCTTCATTCTTAATTTAGTACATTTGAACTAGGAGTATGGAAGTAGGACAAGTAGGACGAGTAGGACGAGTAGGACGAGTAGGACGAGTAGGACGAGTAGGACGAGTAGGACGAGTAGGACGAGTAGGACGTCCCTAAAAGTCTGATTTGATTTCATATTATCACCATTAGTATCATCATGATTTCCAAAAATGTATATTTAGTAGAGAATATCCATCACCAATATGTATTGTGTTGTATACTAACCTGGAGGTGTACTGTATATATTGTTTGTGTACATGTATCTGTACATGTGTTTATGTGAGCTCTACCACTAGAATAAATTATGTACAGAGCTAAACTTTATGATTTAAAAATCTGATATTTTGAATTAAAAAGTCTCTGAAATGATTTTGCCGGTTTAATCTTTATTTTTTCCATTCCTTTTAATTCAGAAATTTTTTTAGTTAACCCATTAATTCCAACGTTGTTTTTGCTTTGTAAACTTTGGTTCGAATTTGCTTCAGCAATAAAAAAACTTTTTTTGTTATGAATAATCATGTCTGCTCTTTCAAGGAAAGGTTCAATAAATAACTAATGTTTAATTTTTGGAAATTTCAATCTTTAATTGTCTTATTGTCACCAGCAATGTGTTAATTATTTGGTTTATTTACCTGTGCAATAAACCTGTAATACTCTGACCCAGCGGCTAGAACAATAGAATGAGTTCGAACCCTTGAACCATCATCTAGGTATATGGTGGTATCTGCCGACCAATCGGACTGGAACACGGCCTCCCTCCCCTGCTCCTTCTCCTCCTTCTCCTCCATGTTTCCAAGGATAGTCTCGTTGTGCTCTGAGAGCGCTCCAGCGATCATGTGCGGGTGTCTCGTCCATTTCAAACAAAACTAAAATAAACAAATGAGAATTTGTATACTTAAATTTAAAAGGAAGGAATTGTCGGATTCACAACGGTAACATTAAATCCTTTGTCTTATCAGGTAAGAACAAGATATTCTTATTTCTCCGAATAAAAAGTTATTATTTTCAAGTGCGGTTTTTACATAAAAGTGACCTGGGCCTTATTTAGATACTTAAAGAAAATTAGCAGAATTGTCACTTTTTCAAAAAAAAACGACGAAACTTTGCAGATTGTTAGCTATAGATAGATGTTTAAAGATTTCGGCTCTGAGGGTCACTTGAAATTACGACTACACTCTCTACAGTGACCTTAACGATTTTACGACTGGAAAGGAAGTTGTTGGGTTCGGAGAAGATTTAACAGGGTTTAGATTGAAAAAGAAAGAAAATACACGCGGCACGTGGATTTAACGGTTCTGTCAATATTCCAGAAAGCTGTGACTTTCGTTCACAATTTGACATATTAAACATAATTTGTAAGCCTTTTTCCTTTTATACTTTTTTGTCGGCATATGCATTTTGAATGAAAATGTATAGAATAAACAAATCCGTAAAGTAAAAGATTGTTAAATTAGACCAAAACATGTTTGATTTCAAATAGAAGAAACCGAATGTTGCTCACTGGTTAGTCCGGGGAAATTAGTTTTGGATTGGGGATACTATAAAGGAGTGCAGGACATATGGATCAGGTTAGGACGAACTATACTTAGTGAAGTGCTTTCTGCTCGTTTTTTGACATAATTTTTTTTTTTTTAGAATAAAAAATTGGCATAATGTAAGAGTAGACAATGATTCTTTTAAATTTTTTGTTTAAAACTGTTGCTTTTCTTTAAGTATGTCAAATTTTGAACCTGGTAGATGATATTTATGCAAAAAAACTACTCCAAAACATTGTAAAAACTAACATGTTGTAACGATCGTTTTTACATCGTTTTTTAGGAGAAAGATATTAGAAGTATAATAATGAAAGCAAACTCTAATAGTATACAATTTTGAAATCTTGGACGTTTTATTAAATTTTTCTAAAACCTATCAAAATCCGATTATCAACACTAACTATAGTATTCTGTAGGAAAAGTTTAGATTAGAGATGGAATAAGTTTTATAGATAGACGGACACAGGATATAAGGATAAATTTCAAAATAGAGAAACGGAGACAGGATTTAAGGATAAGTTTTAAAATAGAGAGACGGAGACAGGATATAAGGATAAGTTTTAAAATAGAGAGAGACGGAGACAGGATATAAGGATAAGTTTTGAAATAGAGAGACGGAGACAGGATATAAGGATAAGCTTTAAAATAGAGAGACGGAGACAGGATTTAAGGATAAGTTTTAAAATAGAGAGACGGAGACAGGATTTAAGGATAAGTTTTAAAATAGAGAGACGGAGACAGGATATAAGGATAAGTTTTAAAATAGAGAGGAAAAGAAAAAGAAAATATGTAGGCTAAAGGGATAAGAGAGGTGGAAGGAAGGTTGAAAGAGATTAGATCGGTATTCCAAAATCCAAAGGAGAAATTAGAGATGACTGAATAAGTTGTCAATCTTATGATTTATCAATTGGATTGAAATGTAGTTTGAAAAGAAGAAATTTGTTTAAGAGAAATGAGAGAGGAGGGGGGGTTATTCAATAGAAGTTTTATTGGAGGGAGAATATGGGAAGGGGGAGGGGAGGCTATATGGTTAAATATTTCTCTTTTTTTATTATATTAAATTCATTAAATATTTAGGTAATATATGCTTCTATAAACTTTACTTATTATTAGTTCATTAGTTAATTTCATTAATTTTGGTACAAACCCCAAATGTCTAATCGTTAAATTTTTGCAACCTGATGGTAAATTAGATTAATTTTGATCTAATTGAATTCATAGTTTGAAATATCCAAGGTCTGTGACATTGGATTGCAAAGATATAGAAAATAAAATGAGAGTTTGTGTGAAAGAATCAAGAAAATAGTGTTTATTGTTTTTATCGTACATTGTATGTGCATTCAGAAGGAGTAACCAAACCGGAACTATCGTGGATTTTCACTAAAATAATAAACATTTTTCATATTTTAGGATGAAAAATATTAAAATGTTATAAACAAGATATTTTTTATTCCATAATGCAAAAAGTAAATTTAAAGTTATTGTTGAATTTGGGCGCGCTGCATTCTAATATTTTGAATAGAAAATATTGAGAGAATTTGTTAGAAATTAAACGGTTCTTTGCATGAAAATATATATTTTAATGAAAGTTGCCCAATATGGCGCTCTTCATACAATTAGGAGTATGCACGATTTTCACAGCTTGTTACTGGAATATTACGAGGTATTCCTTGAGTCTTTGCCACAAACTCTGATTTTTTAATCCCGATATCTTTGCTAACCAATTTGGCAGCCATTAGATATTTCAAACTATGAATTCTTTTAGATCAAACAATTTAAATTTTAAATATCTAAGGTTTCAAATATATAGGGATTAGAAAATTATAGTTTGTGGGAAAGACTCAATTCCTTTATCAACTAAAACAAATTAAAAGTTAGAATTTACAGAATTATAGTAAACACATTAAAAACTTTGTCACAGGGTTCAATTCAGTATAAAATAAATTGCAGGTTGTAACATTGTATGATGAAGAAAAACCATTAAAAAGCGGAAGTCAGGGACTAAACTACTTATAATTACATGCAAGTGTATAAAATTATAGTAAATAGTGACGTTCCATGCAACGATCGATGGCAATGCCCAATTCACAACGGTACCCTTAAAAGCTTTGTTTTATCAAGTATGAAGTAGATATCCATGTTTCAATATTAAAAAAATAGTATTTTAAATTGTGGTTTCTTTATCGCATTTCTACTGCAGAAAAACATATAGGAATGATCCGAATTATACATTTTTAAACCCAGAAAAACGACAATATCTTCCACAATATTAATTAAGTTTCGGTGTGAATTAGGCATTGCCATCTTTGCATGGTGGGCATCATTTTTCTTGAGATAAATGGGGAAAAATAAAGCCTGCAATTGTAATCAATGATTATGAAAGATTTAATTTAGTATAGTGTTGTATAAAGCGCGTCAAACTCCATAAAATTAAAATTAATTAGTTTAAATCAAAATTAAAAATGGCTAACAGAGGCGTACACGCTAATCACTGCTTATATCCAATGAACAAATTAGATATTGAAAGAAATTGGATGCAATTATTTTAAATTTTTGACCCTCCATAAATTTCTTTTTATTTATGAGTGGTATAAAAGTTATACATATTATGTGTAATCTATGACTTAAAATTGAACCAAAAAAATCAAAAAGATGTTTTTTGTCAGAATGTTTTAAAGCAATTTTTAGCAATCTCAATTCACTTTTTGATGCTTAAAATATTTCTATTTATACCAGGAAAAAACACTTTTATAAGCTATAAATTATAAGCTATAAAATGTCGAATAAACCAAGGACTAGTATAATAAGAAACTTCCTATCAACCATGAACAGTCTTCTTGTAGTTTATACTTTACAAAAATATATTTAAAATTAGAGTCATGGTTTGCGGTTTAGTTTAGAACAAACTGGCTTAAAGTTAATTTTTCAGTTAATGATTTCGCAGATTTCAAACAGATTTTAGATCACCTTATCTTGTAAAAAGTCTAAATTATTGTTGTTAATGTTGTTACTGTTGAGAACCCCCCGGTTGGTTTGTATATGTTGTATACTCATGTCTACTGCCAGAGGTTGACTGCCTGAGTTTCGGCTTGAACTAGGTTATGTGAGATCTACTCTAAGAGGGGGGGGGGNCCCCCCCCCCTCTCCCTCCCCCTCCATTTCACACTCCGTAATATGTATTGTGTACACTTTTCATGGATTTACTCAACCTGGATTTTAAATTGAAAGGATACCATTCCTCGATAAAACTTGGATAAAACACTGTACTGCAGAGTACGCATGTTATCGTTAATGCACTACGCTGTACGCTGGTTAATTTTAAGATAAAATTACAGTAAAATATAAACAGAAACCGTTTTTCAACCCCCCCCCCCCAAAAAAAAAAGATAGTTTAATACATGCCGACCTAAAATTCAATATCCATAGCTTTTCCAGGATTGTTTAATTTGCAGTGTACTTTTTTATGTAATCTGGTACCATCACTGCAGTTCCTGCAGTACACTTAGGTTTCCATAAGCAAGGTTATAATGCAAGGAAAGTTATTTCAGAAGTGTACGCATCTTGTGTACTGCAGTGTACTGTCTCTGGGCGGCGATGTAAACACAAAACGGATGTCGAAGCATGACATGGGATCCATCTTTCACATAAAAAAATCAATGAAATATCCTGGTCAAAGGAAACTATTATGTGAATTATCAAAATTATCAAAATTTAATGCTTTTAATTTCCTCGGATACTAAACGAACACTTATAATTTATAAAAGTGGATGGAAAAAAATATATACAAACATAAATAAACTTTACTTAACTTTTTTTCCGAACTAAAGTCAAAATGGATGTACAGAGTGAGCCAATATTTGGATAGGACCTAAGAGGACCTAAGAGGACCTAATGGAGGACCTAAGAGGACCTAAGATGACCTAAGAGGACCTAAGAGGACCTAAGAGGACGTAAGAGGACCTAAAAGGACCTAAGAAGACCTAAGAGAACCTATGTAGCCTGAGGTGGATAAAACAAAAATAAAAAAATAAAAGACATTCTAAAAAGATTGAAATAATAAAAATGTTTAATTCCTCTGACAAAGCTCCGAGCTCCACCTAACAGTAACATGAAGAAATCTGAAATCAATAAAAGTGAGAGCAGGATAGATGTAACATATGCATTATACCACAGAGATTGAGACAGGTGTGCGCAGATGCATTTTCCGGACTGAGTCGACTTTTGAGTGTTGCAACGCCTTGGGCATTAATTTTACCTAACTGACATCCTTTTACATTTCTGCAGCTCTAAACTATAAAGAAGTTATATTTTAAGAAGTAATTAGCAAAATTCTAAACATTTTCCCCTCGAATGTTTGCAACTTTTGGATAAAAACGATCCATGTTTAAAGCTCAATTCGAAACCATGAAACTAGACTTGAAACTATTAAACTAGACTTGAAACCATAAAACTAGATTGAAACCACGAAACTAGACTTTGAAACTATGAAACTAAACTTGAAACTATGAAACTAAACTTGAAACTATGAAACTAAACTTGAAACCATAAAACTAGATTGAAACCACGAAACTGGACTTAAAATAATGAAACTGGACTTTACAATATGAAACTGGACTTACAACCAAGATACTAGACTTGAAACCATAAAACTAGGCTTGAAACCAAGAAACTAGGCTTGAAACCATGAAAACAGACTTGAAACCATATTCCCAGCTATGCTGTTAATAAAAACACAACTGCAAACTAACAAAGTTAATGTCCATAGATTCAAAATTTCTCTTTGGAACCAAATATAAATATTTCACACTGTCACGTGATAAGTTTTACAAAATCTAATTTATAAACAATAATACAATTATTTTATAAACAAGGTTAACTGCTATTTATTCACAGATTTACATATATTTAATACAACCTTTAAACTTTATTTCATTTTTCTAAATATTTGTGATAAAATGTTCTTGCGCTTCTTGTATACCTACAATTAAATCAGGGAGTAAGTATCCGCGACTTCCTATGTGAACCACACTACAGAACTAAAATTTATAAACCAACCATCTTTTAAGGGGTAACCCTGCAGCTTAACCAGAGAGGTAAATTAATAAATATTTATTATAGTTGAACTAGATACGAGTAATTGAAAAGAAATTAATCAACAAAACTTTTTTCAGGCTACATTTTGTTTCTAGTCCCACTGGAATTGTGATACACTTTCTTTGTAAACAAAGTAGTGAGTTTTCCACACCTTTTATCACAAATAACAAGACACTCTAAATAACTCGTCTAAAAACTTCTAATAATCGATATAAATAGAAAAATATTCGTCTTAGAATAGTAATATTTCTCAAAGAAAAATGATTTTTCAATCTAGATTTAATCCTATAAATACCTAGTCATTCTTCTTACTTAGAGAAATAATTCTCAAGCTCTAGATACACCAGACCTAGATACTAGATACACCAGACCTAGACACTAGATACACCAGACCAAGATACTAGATACACCAGACTTAGATACTAGATACACCAGACCTAGATACTAGATACACCAGACCTAGATACTAGATACACCAGACCAAGATACTAGATACACCAGACCTTGATACTAGATACACCAGACCTAGATACTAGATACACCAGACCAAGATACTAGATACACCAGACCTTGATACTAGATACACCAGACCTAGATACTAGATACACCAGACCTAGATACTAGATACACCAGACCAAGATAATAGATACACCAGACCTAGGTACTAGATACACCAGACCTAGATACTAGACACACCAGACCTAGTGAATACTAGATAAACCAGACCTAGATACTAGATACACCAGACCTAGATACTAGACACACCAGACCTAGTGAATACTAGATAAACCAGACCTAGATACTAGATACACCAGACTTAGATACTAGATACACCAAACCTAGATACTAAATACACCAGACCTAGAAACTAGGCAGACCAGACCTAGATGATATTATATACACCAGACCTAGAAAACGAAAACACAAGACCTAGATAATATTAGATATACACCACACCTAGAGAATATTAGATACACCAAACCTAGAGAATTCTAGATACACCAGACCTAGATACTAGATACACCAGATCTAGAGGATACTAGTCATACCAGATCTAGAGGATATTAGATACACCCGATCTAGAGGATACTAGATAGACCGGACCTAGAGGATACTAGATACACTAAGCCTAGATACTAGATACACCAGACCTAGAGGATACTAGATACCCCAGACCTAGAGGATACTAGATACACCTGGGAAAGTTAAACGAACCCTGTTTTTTAAATATAAAGATAAATAAGGTTGGCTTCAGGCTTAGAAATATAGGTTGCAAATAGTGACAAATATGCTTGGTCATGTCGTAAAAATATAGAAAAAACTTCCTTGCTCTAAACTTTCCCTTGATTTCATGTGGCCAATCACGAGGTCATGGACAGCATCCAAGCAAGATAAGGGATTGTCTGATTGAATTGAATATAAACTAGGCTTTTAAATCTTAATTGTGGCTCTATCTATGGCATCTTCTATATGTACAATATAAAACAAAAGAAACAAAAAATTCGCGGATTTAATATTATTTTTTCGCGGATTTTCAAATTTTACAAAAATCCAAAATTTTTGTAGACAATTTTTTAAAACTCTGATTTCTGAGCATACATAAACAAACCTTCGATTGGAACAAGTGCGGTCCCATAACAAATTTGGGCCCGATCGGTTCAGCCGTTTTGACGTTTATCGGTTACATACAAACAGACAAGCAGAATATACATATACATTATACAGAAGTTGCACGTTATAATGGAGAATCAAATTTATATCAAACAATTAATATAATATAACTTTTCAGATTCTTGGAAATCTTATTCAAAAATAAATTTTTTTTGAACCAATTATGATTGAACTAAATTGACAAATGTGCAACGGAATATAAGTTAAACTCGTTAATTTGATATAGAGGACATCAAATAGAACATTATATATTATATTACATTATATTACATTTCATTACATTATATACAAAGAAAGAAAGATGCAAATATGTAAACTGCGCCAACTTTACTGTAACTTAAACATTACAAATATTTTCACCGACACTAAAATTAAAACATTGTCAGAGACGTAAAAACAGCTGTACTGTACTTCATATCTAGATAATATTGTTCCAGAATTGAAACGCGCATTTTTGGCAATTTTGAAAACTTAATGAAAATTTTGACGATTAACATTGAGTTTCGCCAGGAACATCTCTGAGCAGCAAGGTAGGCTTAGCTCTGTTTTAAGTAAAACAAAACCTTAAATACCGTGGTCTGCGTTTATATCAATACAATGAAGAGCTGGAATTTTACATCCTCTCTTTGTGTCCATGTTTATGTATATTGTACAGGGTGTCCCAACAACCATGGGAATTCGGTAACGAATTCGATATCGTCTTTTCAAATAATTCTTTAGTATAGATGGTAGCCCGGGTCATAGAACAAGCTGTAACTTGCTGTAACTACGACTATGATTTCCAGACATAGCTCTGAGCTCTGATTTCAAAATTGGATCACATCTCGTTCATTAGTCTCAAGTCATAGCATTTGATAGCTGTGACTTCGAGTCGCAGCTAAGCTGTAATCCAAGCTGCGAAGTCATAGCAATTTGACAGCTTAAATTGAAATCTTACTGGGCATTTGCACAAAAAGCGATCTCTTTAATAAAGTCGTCTTTTAAAAAAGGACAAAATTTTACCAAAAAAATTTGTATTACAAAATTTCAAGATACTAAATTCTGAAAATTTCATCATATTTTGTTGACAAATTTGTCTAAACAAAGAGTAAAGTTTTTTAGTTTTATGTAGATGAATATGCAATTTTCATATTTATTTATTTATAAAAATGCATCCTCCCCCTTGGACCCAACGCCCCCCTCCCTTTCATTTCTTCAAATACCAAAATTTTTTTTGAAAAATCAAATTTTCGAATTTATTTTTAATCATTTGTTTATGAACAATTNCAGAGGTGCAGAGATAAAATTGAAATACAGAGATACAGAGATAAAATTGAATTACAGAATATAGAGAAAAAATTGAAATACAGAGATACAGACATAAAATTAAAATACAGAGATACAGAGAAAAATGAAATACAGAGATACAGAGATAAAAGTGAAATACAGAGATACAGAGATAAATTGAAATACAGAGATACAGAGATCAGAATACAAAGGAATGCCAGTCGGCTTCGTTTGTTCTTACATTCTTGCGTTCATTAAGAAAATGTCGTGAAAGATGCACTGTAAGTTGTAAGTGTTTTATCTGATATATTTTTATATAATTTACAGAAGCCATTTTTTGAAAAAATCAATTTTTAATTAACAAATATTTTAACTACATTTCATCGTAAAAATGTCTGGGTACCACTGCAGTTCTAAAACTATAACCCAGCCAATGACTAAAAAACTAATAAATATACACTAACTGTGTTTTCTAATTGTTAAGTACTACACAGGAAGTAATGTATTTTTTCCTAATGAAACAGAAAAACCACTTAGTCAGTTAATATACTTTATAGTTCATAGTTATAGCTAAAATAAACATATACAATTTACATATATGCATTTGCATTATGTATAAAATAGCGAAGCCAAAGAACAAGTGTTCAGAATAAATAAAATAAAAAACGTTTAAGCACAAATTTTTAAAATTTTTATCAACCGAGATCCCACAAAAAATTTGGGCCCGATCGGTTCAGCCGTTTTGACGTTTATTTGATACACACAAACAGACAAACAAAGAGACAGACAAGCCAGGTTTATGTATAGATGGTTTTAGCATGCAGAAGTTCATTCGTTTCTTTTAATGTTTAGAAGAGATTGAAGACTCTTAAACTGACTTTTTATTTAAAGAGTATCATGTTCCCTTTAAACCTTTATCTGTTCATAAAGGAATTCTTCTCTAGCTCAAAATTGATTGTTTTAAATTGTAAATTCTCTGCAGCTGTAGTAATGAAGGAAAGTGTCAGAATTCAGCACATTTTCAGACAGAAAAATAACGATATAAATAAATATAATTGGAGCTATACTAATTTCAGCCTTCTGATTATTGTTTACGGGGGTTGGCCTACATGGAGCAGTGCAATCTATGGGAAGCCCGTCCCTCTCCGGAGAAGTTCTTGTATACGCCCCTGAGTAGGGATAATTTAGATATCCAGACAGAGCTGAGTATCTATTCAAAATGATGGGCGGGGAAAATATAACGCTAATAATATAACTAATAATAATATAACTAACCAAAAATTTTACCATTCTCAACTAAAATCTAATATTTTTTTTTACTAAAAATATGAACAATTTTCGACCAAAAATACAACCATTTCAACACTTTTTGGATCACAAATGTAATGGTTTTTAACCAAAAAAATAAAAATTATTTTATAAAAAATATAAGCATTTTTGCGTTATATTTCGAGTTTAGAAATGATTATATTTTTGGTTAAAAAAAGTTCCAAAATTTACTTTTCTAATTTATGAAAATAACTAAATTTTTGGTTAAAAACGGTTGTATTTTTGGTTTAAAATGTATATATGTTTTGGTGAGTTGTATTCTTAGTTAGTTATATATTTGGTGTTTTATATTAGATCAGAACATAATTATATTTTTGTCAGTTATATTTCCACGCCATCTTTTTAATGTATATTTTATTTATCTATTTGCCTGAGAGACCTAATTGTAATATAATTAATAAACCTTATATTAACATAATATANTCTAGTACATATATTAACGCATTGTATTTCTTATTAAAAGAGGATATAGCGCAACTAAAGCACTTTTTTGAGGGGGGATTTTTACAAGGGTTGGAGGGGGGGGGGCGTATACAGCGGGTGTTAGCCTACCCCTTGAAAATAAAAGTGGTGTAAGGGTTTTAAGAATAATAAAAATTGAAATTTTAAATTGTTGAAAGTTTGTCTGTGTACAAATCAGCCCCACTCCCAAACCCAACCGGGACAGGGTTTAAGTCATCATCGAATTCTCATGTTTATTTAGACCTACATTACTAGCATTAAAACACATTGTAAACAAATACAAATATATTTGAGAATTGGACAGAAGTCTTCAGACAACAATGCAACAGAAAAAAAAGAGAAAATAAGAAAATATAAAAAAGATTAAACATTAATCACATTGACCAGTTTCGTAGATATGAAGTTAATTTGGTTGATTTGGTTGAGTTGGTTTGCACCAATAGGATCCTCTCTTCTTATTCATGGTTTGTTTCAGCCAATAGCATTTGATCTTCCGGCCTAAATAAATAAATTAACCATTATAACATATATATACATACAGGGCGAGTTAAAAAAGTGTGATTTTGCACCAAACGCCGCTAATCACACTTTTTGGTAATTTTCTAGAGAGCGATTTTTGGGTCAACCCAGACCGATATCTATTTTGAAACTAATATGGAGTTAACATCTTTAGTAAAGTTTGGTTGTAAAATCAACACCAAGTCTTAAATACACCTTCAACCTGTGAGTAGTTGTTTTCTGTTCTCATTTGAATGATTCCGTCCTTCTCCTGGTATACCTGTTTAGTCTTCTGAAGGATAGTTTAGAGACGAGGATCATGACTAGGCCGGTGAAGAGGATGATGAAGACTCCGATCATGTTGACGAGGGTTCCCTCCCCAGAGCTAACCTAGGGTTCAGGATGTATCAAGATATGAAAGGATTTATCAGGATATGAAGAATAGTATTTATCAGTAGACATATCATGGTATCAAGAATAAAATAGGACAAAGTAGGATTCAATATCAATAATTCAATATATCATAGAAGAATGACTGAATAGAAATTGATAACTCTCCGCGCCTCTCTTTTTATCATTGCTTTTGGCACTGTGACACACATTTATAGAACTTTTTACTAATAGATAAATGAAGGGATGTGACAACAATGTTTTGAGACTTCATTCATCGGTTTCCGTTTATTCTTTGGGCAAAGTAAGGATGAAATGAAATACTAATAACTAATTTTAAAATTAACTAGGGTTTATAATTGAGGAGTCTCTAATGAGGTTGCCATAGTGAGGAGTCACTGCTAAGGACAAGTAATAAGTATGCACACAAGGTAGGTAAAGCTATTTGGGTAAGGCTATAAGAGAATTTTGTACACAGAATTCACCAAATTCCGTAATATACAATGAACTTAATGAACAATCGAATTATATTGTGCAACCGAAACTGGACATGGACCGAAACATGAAATTGAACCCAGTATTCAAACCTTAGTCGCAGTCCAGAGTTATATTGTTACACTAATAAAGATAAAATGGAGCGAATGGTGTGTCTCCTTTTCTGAAAAAAAACTAAACAAAAATGTTTGAAAAAATTCGCCAAAAAAGTTTATATAAATAGATTAGAGTAAAAACGAATAGTGTCCCCCCCCCTTCTCCAACTCCCCTCTAATCCAGGGCTACTCCCCACCCCTCTCATGTCGAAACTGTAAATTATTGTTTCGCCATAAGCCGAATTAAACTGAATGTAAACAGACCGATAAACCAGCTTTTAGCCGCCGAAACCGAGTTCATAATGTATTCCAGAATATATTTGTGTACAGTAAATTAATTCTCTTATGGCCCATCGTTGTATGCAAGAAATATATAGACCAGGAACCGCCATATCTGATGCGTCAAATCTGTGTACTGCAGTGGGAGGAGATAAAAACAAAGAATTCAGGGGCAACGCATCATTTTTGAGGGAAAAGGGTCCAAGGGGTGGAATACAAATTTATTGCTATTGTATTTTCCATATTGACCAGAAAGCCAAAAATCATTATTCTTGATATAATAACTTGTGTTTTGTTGGACTGTAATATCACATCAGAGCTTTAGTCCTTTCTCTTCAACTTATGTGGGGGCTCTGGGTTTGTTTACATTCCTTCCACAGTGTACAGTACATAATTTGCAAATATCTGAGTTGGGCGTTCCTTTATATAGTTCCTTAGTATGACATACATACATATTACATGCACTGTATAGCTGAATATAATGGAGAGGATATATTAACAAGGGTTTAGGGGTTTTTATACAGGTTAGATTTACTTGTATAGGTTTTTCACAAGGGTTTTATCATTATAATACAGGGTGTCCCACGAAACATGACAGTATGCAGGACGACTTGAATCTCGTCTTGATTTTTGATATAATTTGCTGCGTTTATTTGTCAACCTAATTTTAGAAGTAAATTTCTAGAGATAATAATCACAAAATTTCCCTTGTCCTGCCATTTCCAAAATGTGGTCTGCCTTTTTTGTGCTTTCAATATTGCCCGAGATATGAAGAATTTCGTTCAGATTTCGACAATTTTGCTTTTATTTAACAAAATTGAAATCTGAACCAAACTCTTTATATCTCCGGTAATATTGAAAGCACAAAAAACGCAGACCACTTTTTGGAAATGCCAGGGCTAGGAGAATTATGTGATAATTGTTTCAAGAATCATACATGTTAAAGTAGATAGAAGACTAAATGTCACAAATAAATTCAAATACCAAAGACGACTTCCAAGTCGTCTTGCTATTGTCATGTTTCGTGGGACACCCTGTAGATACTAGCTTCAGTGTCCGGCGTTGCCCGAGGACCTTTTAAAATCAATTTTTGAAAGGAAAAATTTGATTTTTGAAAAAATGGCTTACTTATTGATTTGACACAGAAAGAAACAAGTTAAAAGTCGCAGGGAATCATCAATATAACAGACAGTATAAATTTTGTAAAGTCGTCGCTGAAGTCTCATCCTTTGTGGGTAACCCTGTATAGCTAACATACAAACAAATATATATATATGAGCAAAGAGCTTTATTATATAGATAGAAGGGTTCAAGGGGGTCTCTCTTGGGACATGAATATTTTCTTGATTATAAAAGGAAATGAATTGTAAAAAGTCCCAGGATTTGTAAATCTTATGGAGCTGAAGAAACTCAATTACTGAATTATTTATCATGATTGAGATAACAAACTTGAAAATCGTATTTCTTTTACAAATCTTTATAATATAATAATATAATTTTCTTTAGTCCTGATATATTCTATATAGTTCTCTAATCCATACAATACGCAAGGTTATTCACAAAGTATGAACCTTCAGCAAAATTTATTAAGTCTTATCAAACATACCTGCCATTTCTTGCCAAGGGTCCAGATTGCCTTCTCTGTGATACCAAGGAGAGCAGCTACCGAAGCTAGGACGAATATTCCTGCTCCGAGTGTAGTGTGAACAGGGAGATACATCATTCTTAGATGAGAAGCTAACCCAGGACACAGGAATGCAACAAGACCTTAAAATTAGCAAAATATTTAAAATATTAAAATATTAAAATTTCAAATATCTTTGCTGTGTACTATAAAGTACTAGAGTGTACTAAAGTGTACTAGAGTATACTAGAGTATACTAGAGTGTACTAGAGTGTACTAGAGTGTACAAGAGCGTAAAGAGTGTACTAAAGTGTACTAGAGTATACTAGAGTATACTAGAGTGTACTAGAGTGTACTAGAGTGTACAAGAGCGTAAAGAGTGTACTAGAGTGTACTAGAGTGTACTAGAGTGTACTAGAGTGTACTATAGTGTACTAAAGTGTACTAGAGTATACTAGAGTATACTAGAGTGTACTAGAATGTACTAGAGTGTACAAGAGTGTAAAGAGTGTACTAGAGTGTACTAGAGTGTACTAGAGTGTACTAGAGTGTACTAGAGTATACTAGAGTGTACTAGAGTGTACTAGAGTATACTAGAGTATACTAGAATGTACTAGAGTGTACTAGAGTGTACTAGAGAATACTAGAGTGTCCTATAGTGTATTAGAGTGCACTAGAGTGTACTAGAGTGTACTAGAGTGTACTAGAGTGTACTAGAGTGTACTAGAGTGTACTAGAGTATACTAGAGTGTACTAGAGTGTACTAGAGTGTACTAGAGTATACTAGAGTGTACTAGAGTGTACTAGAGTGTAC